AAGTTTACTCATCAAATAAATAAATTAATTAATAAAATAAAATAAATACTTCGTAGAAAGATTCTTCCATGCATGATCGATATCATCTCTAGGATATTTTAGATTTAAAAATGGAAGTCTCTCTCTCTCTCCGTCAAACAATTGTCAGTCTTTAAGTAATAGAAAGATTCCATTTTTTCCTCATATATTCATGTCCGTATTACTTGTAAAATATGATTCACTTGTTAATGGTTTCCTATCAATTTGATTTGACCACTGTATCTTGGTTTCCAATGCATGAGTATATCTTAAAAAAAACATCATTATATTATTTTTAGATTTATTAAAAAATAATATAAATTATATTTTAAAATTACATCTAAGAATTTAAATTATTGAATTAAAATAATTTTCTACCATATCATCAGAATCTTAATAACTAAATAGTCATAAATTCGAATTTCATGATTTCTATTTATTTAATAAAAAATAAATATAAAATAATTTAAAACCCTTGAAAGTTTTAAACTCAAAAAATTTTCATTTAAAAGGATATGTTAAAAAATAATATAAATTATATATTAAAACCTTATATAGTAATTTAAGTATTAGATTGAAATAATTTTTTGATAATTTATACATTATAAACAATCTACTTTTTAAATTTGGATTTCAGTTTTATAGATAGGAATTAATTTAAAATTAAAAAAAATTCAAAACAAAAAAAATGGAGGAGGAAACATGAAAATAAATATGTCTTTAAAATATTTTTTAAATGAATTTTATATTTTTAAAATTAAAGATAAAATGAGGATTTGTCATTGCTAATCTTCATTTTTTTTATGTAGAGAAAATAATAATAATAAAAATAATAATAAAAAAGAAGTTATTTAAGTGTTAGTGAGATGTTATACATACATAACGGATGGATTGCAAGAAAATAAGAAGAAAATGAATTTATATATAAAAAGAAAGAATAAACTTAGAATGAACTGTTTCTTGTGTGAAGGGGTATCGAATCATGGCAAGATACAGCCCATAATAGGCCCGGGATGGCTTTAAAAAAGCCTCAAATAAATGGGCCAAAGCCCATCTTGTCTTAAGACAGTGCTACCTAGTTTTTGTGGCGCAGCCTCTCGTAGCCAACCCACTTCATTGAATCATGGCCAGAAAATTCAAAAGAAAATCCAACTAGCACATCGAAGTTTGAACCGCCAGCAGAAAGACAGCAAGAGAGGAAATTAAACAATACCATACTTTACTCTTCTAAAACAAGAATGCTCTATTTTACTTTTTATTTATTTGTTTGGTACTGCAGTAATTTTAATTTTTTAATTATTTCTTATTTGAAAAACACTCATTACTTTTGAGGTGTTTTTTTAATGGTTTTAATATACTGATGTTAAGTTTTTTTAAAATACAAAAAATACTATTTTGATATATTTTTAATTGAAAAATACATTTAAGAACATCAATTTAATATATTTTTAATTAAAAAATACATTTAACAAATGCATTTAAAAAAAATAAAGGATAAGGGATTTTCCAGGTTTCTCAAAACCAATAAAAAATGACATTTCAGTATGTAGGTTGTTTATGTGATGCAAAATGCTTTTCAATTTTTTTTTTAATTTTTATAGTTTTTTATTTTTTACATTACCATATTAAAATCATAAAAAATATTAATTTAATATTTTTAAAATAAAAAACTTTCAAAAAATTAAAAAAATGCAATCTCTCAAACAAGTTCCCAGTACTACAATATTTTACAATTTAAACTGTAAAATAAAAAGAGTAACATAATACTACTATTTTTCTTCTTTAATTATTTATTTTATTATTAATATAAATATCTAAATCAACTTATATATATCTAAACTAATTTTATATATATTAAAATTAATAACCCTCTAATTTTTCCTAACTAGCAACTACAATACTCAAATTTGAAAACATTATTCTTAACTAATGTTGCCTTTTCAGGGAGGGTCAAAAGGTAGTCTACATTTTTTATTCTCTGGCAGTGCAAGGAGCCTCGAAGTTTGCCCTGCTCCATTCCCCTTTTTCTTTTTCCCAGAGGTAAATACAATATCATGAACAAAAGCCAAGAAAACTTGAAGGTACAAAAAGACTGAAAATTGATTAGAATGTTATCCTATCTCTGTGAAATGCAAAACAGAACAAGAAAAGGAAAAGGAAAAAAGCTAACCAGAGACCATAATTACTAGTAGCCCCACCAAGAGTGACAGTTACTCTTTGCAGAAGGAAAATGAGAGGACCTGGCCATTTATAATTTATAAACCATTGTAGTCTCACATGGGAGTTTTTGCACTTTGGAATGGCTTCTCATCCCTCATTGTTCACCGCCTTCTTGCTTTTCATTTGCACTGCATTGTTCTTGATCGCATCTACTAGCAGCAGTCAAAATGTTACACTGTCTCTGTACTATGAAACTCTGTGCCCATATTGTGCAGATTTCATAGTGAACCATTTGGTTAAAGTCTTTGACAAAGGACTCATCTCCATTGTCAATCTCAGATTGATCCCCTGGGGAAATGCTTTCCTCCAACCTAATGGCAGCTTTGTTTGCCAGGTTAGTACAGCAATGATCTTTTGTTTTGTTTTGTTTTTTTTTTTTAGAGAGGTTAATTCTATGCTTTGAATTACATTTTTTTTCGGGGGGTGTCAAAAACATTGCAGCATGGTACGAATGAATGTTTCCTAAATGCTATCGAAGCCTGCACCGTAACCATTTACCCTGATGCGGTAAGCTTACCTTGTCGAAATTAATTTCCCAATAGAATCTTTAGTCATGTTCATAGCCTACTTTGATCTGCAGCTTGTGATGGATTGATTTTCACTTTTTTCCCTTGATTTAGGTCAGGCATTTTAGATTTATACATTGTGTTGAGAAAATGTCCTTGGAAAACAAGATGAACGAGTGGGTTAATTGCTTTGGTATGAGTGGGCTGGGCAAAGCACCAATTGATTGCTACACAAGTGGATATGGGGAAGTGGTGAGTTTCGTTCTTGTTAACCAAAGTGTGATTACCTGATCCTATTTACACCACTGCCAAGTTTCATTTCCTTGATAGTTTGAGCTTGAATGATGATGAGATGCAGCTTGAGAGAAAATATGCAGCTGAAACTTCCCAGCTCAATCCACCCCATAGATTTGTGCCATGGGTGGTTGTGAATAATAAACCACTCCTAGAGGTTAGTCTATTATAATTCTGAGACACTAGCTAGTTTAACGGCAGCATGTCACCTTGTCTTTCGAATTCAATTGAATGTATATGGATGCAGGACTTTGAGAATTATGTGAGCTATGTCTGCCAGGCTTATAGAGGGACTAGAATCCCAGAGGCCTGCAAATCACTTCCCCTGGAGAGCAATTCATCGCAGAAGGAAATGCACATTAATTCAGTTTGCTATGTAGACCAAACCAGCAACCTGACATCATCAGCACCGGCAATAAATTGAAGTCCCAAGATCAACCATGCTCGATGGTCTCAATGAATTAAGGTGGAATCTTGACCTACTGATATGATATTGTTGATCAATGTGCTCTAGTGGGTGTATGGTAAACTTTCCAGCTGATTTATAGTATTCAGATTGAGTTTTCTTGTGCTGGTCTGTAGAGATCAGTCTAGCCAGAACAGGATGAGAAATACTATTTGCTGTTGTGTTTAGGTCATTGCAAATGTAGCATTAAGAGCATATTTCGTTTTACCTTGAAGCAGCATCACAGGGCTCTTGGAGTTTTTATAACAGCAATTCCTTATCCCTTGCAGTGGACTAGGAATATATTTACATGGATTCTAACACACCAAAAACGAGGAAAAAGAAATGAAGCCCATAACTTTAGACAAGAATGAATTAAATCATGGAGGCGGTTTTAGCATTTGTGTTTTAAAGTTTTTTTTTTAATGAATTAAAATAATATATTTTTAAAAAATTTTAAAATTTATTTTTAATATTATCATTTGAAAATAATCTAAAACAGCAAAAATATTAATTTTAAAAAAAAATATTAAACAAAAACTTATACATCACAAAAACAAATGGTGCCGAAATGTCATATACCCAAGAAGCTCATTTTACATGCACATGCTAAAATAATTGTATTAAAAGCTATATACTATGATAAAATCATTATAGATTAAGAGATTTTTTTATTATAAATTATAATAATAGTTTTATTTTTAATTTTTTATCTTTTTACGAAACTTTTCTTTAGCTATTTTTCTTCTTTCACAATGAATGGGTGACACCTGTGTTATTAAATAGGTGCATGTTATAATTTTCAATGGCCAAATTTGACCATTTGTCATCTCACTGAATGTGTAAACTTATCATCTTCCATCTTCCATAGTGCATGTAGATAAATAGTGTTATTAAATAGGTGCATGTTATAATTTTCAATGGCCAAATTTGACCATTTGTCATCTCACTGAATGTGTAAACTTATCATCTTCCATCTTCCATAGTGCATGTAGATAAATAATAGTTGGATTGTCATCGATGATCGATTAGTTGTGTTTTTTTTTTCTCTTGACAATTAAAGTGCATAATTATTTTTTATTTATTATTTATTAAATCAGACATATTTGTTATATCCAAGGCACTTAGGTCTAGACCTAGGCATTGGGTCTGGCAACTATGCCAAACCAGTGCACCTAGATCAAAAAATTTAAAAATTTTTAAAAACACAATTGGACTGCAAAAACAAATACTGCCTCATTCAAGTAGGATTTTTTATTCATATTTAGTAGAATTTAACTACAAGCTTTTTTTTGTTTATGCAACTTATTTTATAAATTTGTTATATTGTTAGAGGAAAGAATGGAAGAAAAAATATTGAGTTCTAATTGATTTATTTCAAGTCTTTAAAAATAAAAAAAATTATGCATTAAGGATGAAAATATTAATTTTATATTTACATCCAAGTGTTGGACAATTGTTTAAAGAGTTTAGTCATGTTCATAGCCTACTTTGATCTGCAGCTTGTGATGGATTGATTTTCACTTTTTTCCCTTGATTTAGGTCAGGCATTTTAGATTTATACATTGTGTTGAGAAAATGTCCTTGGAAAACAAGATGAACGAGTGGGTTAATTGCTTTGGTATGAGTGGGCTGGGCAAAGCACCAATTGATTGCTACACAAGTGGATATGGGGAAGTGGTGAGTTTCGTTCTTGTTAACCAAAGTGTGATTACCTGATCCTATTTACACCACTGCCAAGTTTCATTTCCTTGATAGTTTGAGCTTGAATGATGATGAGATGCAGCTTGAGAGAAAATATGCAGCTGAAACTTCCCAGCTCAATCCACCCCATAGATTTGTGCCATGGGTGGTTGTGAATAATAAACCACTCCTAGAGGTTAGTCTATTATAATTCTGAGACACTAGCTAGTTTAACGGCAGCATGTCACCTTGTCTTTCGAATTCAATTGAATGTATATGGATGCAGGACTTTGAGAATTATGTGAGCTATGTCTGCCAGGCTTATAGAGGGACTAGAATCCCAGAGGCCTGCAAATCACTTCCCCTGGAGAGCAATTCATCGCAGAAGGAAATGCACATTAATTCAGTTTGCTATGTAGACCAAACCAGCAACCTGACATCATCAGCACCGGCAATAAATTGAAGTCCCAAGATCAACCATGCTCGATGGTCTCAATGAATTAAGGTGGAATCTTGACCTACTGATATGATATTGTTGATCAATGTGCTCTAGTGGGTGTATGGTAAACTTTCCAGCTGATTTATAGTATTCAGATTGAGTTTTCTTGTGCTGGTCTGTAGAGATCAGTCTAGCCAGAACAGGATGAGAAATACTATTTGCTGTTGTGTTTAGGTCATTGCAAATGTAGCATTAAGAGCATATTTCGTTTTACCTTGAAGCAGCATCACAGGGCTCTTGGAGTTTTTATAACAGCAATTCCTTATCCCTTGCAGTGGACTAGGAATATCAGATTATAATACATAAATTAACATAAAAAAGATAAATAAAAAAAGAAATTAAAGTTGATTTCCAAATAAATCAAACATAATATTAATAAATAAAATTAAAACAATTAATGAAAAATAAGTTAATTAAAAAAAGAACTCAAGGAACAACCAATAAACCAGATAAGCCAACTAAACACTATGCTTCAAATCATGCAAATAAAAAAACTCAATATAAGGAAAACTAGAAAAGATGAAAAAGTTTAATTCCAAAAAAATTCAATATTGAAGGATTAAATATAACAAAATCAGCTTGAAAAACAATCCTAAAAAAATATAAGTCAACTCAGGTTAATTTGTTAAATTCATGATTTAAGTAATGAGATTAAGATAAACAAATAAAAAAAATTGAAGAAAATTAGGAAGCCTAATACAAAAAAAACTCCAACCTTGAAGGATGAAACTGAAAACATAAATTAATTCTTAATCAATTTAATATTAAAATATAAAATTAAAAAAAAAAAAATTTTAAGAAACTCGTCAAAGTAAATACAACAAAAAACAACAACTACAATGATCCATATTTTGACCTTTTGTTTTTAATAGTAATCAATTAGAATTAAATTAAAACAATATCATTAAGAAAATGGTGACTAAAGGAATAAAAACTTACAATGTAAATGTCTAAAAGGAGCAAATAAACAAAAATCAAACTAATTAGTTTAATTCAAGATACATTAAGAGTTTTTAATCAAATCAAAACTTGTGTAATTGGAGTTTCTAATTAAGAATTTCAACCAAAAAGCCAAACAATGAGAGATGAGATACAAAATCACATCATAATTAAGGACCTTGGACTCCAAGATAAATTGATTATGAACTAACCAGATAAACCAATAAAAACCTTTGTAAAAAATAATAATATCTTAACACTGAAAATTGTTTTTGATTAATCTGTACCATTCCTGAAGATTCTATTTAGAATCCTTTTATAGACAACTTAAACACCACACTCGAACCAATGTATGAATCTACCTTAAAAATTTCATGTAATAATATAATGATAAAACAAATGATTACTAGTCTTAATCTCCTCATAACAGGACAAAGAATATCCTCATAATTAATAATCTCCTTTTAAGTGTTAAAAAAAAAACCTATTGTTGAGACTATTATTAAATAGAAGACATATGAATATATCAATTTTAGGAGGTGTGAAACCGTTTTAGAGTAAAAAAAAAAAAGAACCCTCTAAAAAATAGATAAGCTGTCTAGAAATTTGTAATCTGAATGAACTAAATAAATGCTAGAACTATTAAATCTCTATATATTTTTATCTTCACCTTAAGAAAAAACTAAACCACTTTTCATCTCTATAATTAAACTTTCCTACATACAAAGCTCAGAGAACCTGGTATTCCTCCTCCAAGTCAAGCTAATTAAATTATCAACCAAGCTATACATATTTGTAAGGCTAATTGATTGCTGCAATGAAAGATTAAATAGTTTAAAAAATAATTTTTGAAGAGAAACTAGAGTATTTAGCCAAGAATTGATCTAAAATGAATGTTACTACCATCACCCACCTTGAACCTAATTTTGAACTTAAGTGGAATGGTTATGCTTTTACTTGAGGAGAAAACCAAAACAATGTTATATCAGGTTGGAGAAAGAGAACTAGTAAACACATGAAGCTCATTAGCAAAATTAGAATGATACTTTTAATGAATAAATTCTTGTCAGCTTCTTGTCACTCCATTATTTAGATTCCAAAGCCATTTAAAGAGCAAAGCCAACAAAATTTGTGATACAGAGACCCCAAGCCAAGACTATTAAAAGATTTTGACTCAATAACCTTATACAAAGCCATCTAAATTTTATAGGAATTCAAACTACCACTCCATAAAAAGGAATGATTAATAGAAGATATGGCATTAATAATACCCTTTGGTATATGATAAATAGATATATAATACAAAGACAAAAAACTTAAAACTAATTTAATCAAACATATCATCCCAACCATGCTCATATTCCCTTTCCAAGTACTCAATTTAGTTCTAATAGTAGACAACACCGGTTTCCAAGTAGAAAGCGTACTTGGATTGACACCTAAAAGCAACCCAAGGTATCTGACGGAAAAAGAATCATTGCGATAGAAAATTGCGTTAGCCAAATCTAAAGTGTAATTCTCATCCAAGTTAATTCATATAAGAGAGCTTTTATAGAAATTAACTTCAAGACTCAAAATGATTTTAAACTAACAGAGAATCCTCTTGACATACAACAATGAAGAGACATCATCTCACAGGAATATTAATGTGTCCTTTGTATATTGTAGATGAATTATATATTGCCATAGATCAGTCTGAAGACCTTTTAAATAACCTAAATATAAAGCCTTGTTAAATAAAACAGTCAAACTTTCCATTGTTATGTCAAAGAAAAATAGGGAAAAAGGATTCTATTGTCTTAGCCCATTCTCTAGACTGAGTTCTCTACTAGAAATATTGTTGGTTAAAATGACTATTTTAGAGGTGAATAAGCATTTAAAAATTAATTTTCTCCTAAGAGAACCAAATCCCATATAAATCATAGTAACATCAATATATTTCAAAAAAATTGAATCGAAAGCTTTGTGAAAATCTACTTTCAATAAAGCCTCGTGAACTCCCTTTCTACGAATATAATAAATAATCTCATTAGCTATTATGAATCTATCTAAAAACTAAAGTCCATCAAAGAAAGATAACTAGTTGACACTAATAACATCTGTTAGAATATTTTAAAGCTTAGTAGACATAAGTTTTGCCACTATTTTGTATAACTCATGAATCTAGTTAATAGGCCGAAACTGTGAAATTCTTTGACCATCAAAAACATATCAAAGCTAATAAAATTCCAATTTTTTTTATAAAAAAAAATATACCCATCTAGATTAGAAGTTTTCAAATCATTACAGCCCCACACTACTTACTTCACCTTCTATGTGAAACAAGAATTTGTATCCTTTGAAATCTTTTTAAACCCCAAACCACCCATTTTAATCTATTTATAATTGAGCTTAGCAAGGAGATTAGAATATATATGAATTAATAGATGACACTTTTAATCTAAAAACCTAAACTATGGAATTACTTTCTTGTATATAAATCACTCACTATATATCCTGTCCTCAACTGCTAATATTATGAGATACTTTCAGCAACTAACATGAGTGGATGTCTTTCCTGCTCCTCGAGCCATCATCCCCGCTCTTCACTAAGAGTCCAAACCAACTTTTCACTTGGTTTCACAAACAGATGTGCATGAGCGAGGCTTATAAATATACATGATGAATAAGAAACCGTCTTTAATGTAAAAGCTTAAACTTTTGAATTATAAGTTCATTTTTTCGCCATTCATTTGTTCTCAAACTTTATGAAACAATTTCTATAACTTATATGTACAATATCTAGGTTAACAAATAATGTTAATATTAATAATATTTATCAAGATGTTATTACTGGCATGTGGTATATTAAATTATAAAGGTTGGGCTTTTATTCCTCGCACTAATTTTGGAAATTCATGCCGGGTTTGGTTCCGACCAATTAATATTGTCGCTTTTCATTTACTCTTTTTGTCATTTCCTACTTTGAGTAAATGACAAGCTAGGCAAAATCTCTCTCCCTCTCTCTCTCTCTCTCGCTCTCTCATATATATATATATACACACACACACACACACACATTCAACTGTATGAAAGTGTTTCGGATGACAACAAATTTTTTAATATATTTTACTTGAAAAAAATCAAATTATTAAATGCTTTTGATGTATTTTTAAATAAAAAATATTTAAAAAATACAAAGTGCATTTTTTTGTGTGTGTGAAAATCGGGGCTTAACACCCAAATTAAATTAAACAAGAAAACGTTAACCAATCAAATCATAATACAGAATCGATTGCCAGTAATTAATGTGATTAGCTGGGACATGAACAAAAGACTAACACGCACGCACACACACACACCCAGGTGTGTTGCCTGAAATTTAACTAATAAAGTAAATTTTTTGTTGAGATATGAACGTGTGTGTGTGATTGAGCAGTTGGGGCTATTACATTTGCACGCTCCATTGCTAAAGTTTTCAACTCACTTTGGGTTGATGCATGTGTTTGATGCTCCACTGTCGCTGATGCAGACAGCCGAAATTGATTAAAAGATGATTTAGAAATTGTCTTTTTTCAAGGAATCACATGATCTTATCCTTGCTAGGAAAATAGGGACTAAATGGCTTAATGGTCCCCTCTTTCTAAAATTAAGCTATAATCTAGAATTGCTTTGGCACAGTTTGGAAATGCAAAAATTATTTATTTTTGGTTAAAAGTTAATTTTTTATATTTTTAGAATTGTTCTTATATGCTCATTTAAAAAATAATTTAAAAAATAAAAAAAAATTATTTTAATATATTTTGATACGAAAAATATTTTAAAAAATAATCACAAAAACATTGAAGTTCAAAACTGGATTTTTGAATATCCATTTAGTTTGTTTTTATAAAAATCATATTAGAAAATACTTATTCAAAACAAAAAATATTTTTAATTTTTTAATTTTTTTATTATGATGATCCATGATTGCAATTATTAAAATTAATTCACTAATATAATTTCAATTATTTGTACTATTTCATCTTTAGTTTAAGCTTTTGGTGGGGGGATTAATTATTTTATAGCTTGTATATATTCTTGCATCAGTTTTATTAATTCATCTCCGGTGTGGCCTGAAAATTTATTCAATGGAACTTTTTCATTCTGCCCACATGTATAGGATTTGGAATATATATATATATATATATGAACCTGTGAATGGGATTACAAGATAAAGCAGACCACAGCTTCTTCTTTTTCGGTGTACAAGTCTATTCTTCACAGGGATCTTGCCATACAAGAGTTGGCAAATCTGATATTTCATGCCTTTTTACACGATAAAGGAGGAGGAGAAGAAGAGAGAAT